GGGTGCGCCCGCACCCCCTACATCGGCCTCCGTGCAGAGGTATAGATGGGTCTGTATAGACCTGGGGCCACCCGCAGAGCTGCGGGGGGAACGTCTGCACCCCCAGCGAGGGGTGACAACAAGCACAGCCCCCGATCCGGTCCCTGGCAGCTTCCCACAGCTCCGGCTGACGCAGACACAGTTGGAACAAGAGCAGGGCTCCCACTGCCTCACAGGAAACAGCAGTTTGAGGGTCCATGCATTGCATGTCAGCTGCTTCCCAGCTCCCAAGGAACTGCCTCCTTTCTTCTGTAAAATGAGCACAAACACCTCTGTACAATACTTGCACACACACTTCCACGCCTGCCGGTTTGAGGGCCTCCTCAGGTTCCCACCAGGCTGTACAGCATTCCTGGCTGTTGTCACTGCAGGGTAGAATGCAAGAACTATTAGTCCAAATTTAATGCCATGGTATTGTCCTACTCTACAGGGACTGAAAGCTGAAGGCACTGTGCCCAAGTGCATCAGTCCAGCTTCTGACCCACAGTGCAGCAAAGACTGGAACCCCACAGGAAGGAAACGGGTCCAGATATGCTTTAGAGCTCTCCATGGAATGCTACCCAGGAACAGATACAAGTCTTCAAGCTCCAGACTGAACTGACATGCAAGAAAGCACCGGCTGGAAACAGAGCTCCTGCTCAAACTTTGGGCAAGGCAGAAGCAAAAATGTGGGTAGCAACAGTTTCAATACCACTCAACCCAAGGCAGCCAGGACATCACCACATCAAACACACATCACCCTATTAACTGGGTTAGCAGGAGTGTGTATCACCCTGATCGGGTGCAGAGATAGGAAAGTGGGAGTGATGGACATAGCACCCTCAAAAAAATCTGGATAAAGAGAGAGAAACTTGGTTCTGGCTCTAATCCCAGCTGTTGCACCCTGAACATGTCACAACTCTTCATTTGTTATCTTATCATTTACAGGTAGTGAATAATATTTGCATAATTAATAGGAGTAGTATGATAAAATAAATATATACAGGACAGGCTATAATAATCATAGATATACCTAGATAAACATGAAATGATTTTAAAATACATCCTTGCAGAGACTGCTAGTGAAAAACAAATCCTTGAAATCTTAGAAATGCTCCAAGTTGGGCAGCCGCTGAATGTGGACATTACTGAGCACCTTCCTTCTCCCCTTTCCCATCACCTTCAACACAGATGTACCTCACAAAGCAACACAAACTCTGCAACATCTCAGCAAAAACAGGGATGACAGGAAGAAGGAATGCTGTAACACAATTTATTAAAAATCAGTTTAAAAAACCCCAGGACCAGCTCACAAAGGAGAATGGAGGCCTCTGACACTTTGAAGATGGGAACAGGGCTCCCCAGACAAGGTCCAAAGCCTTCGGCTGATCTTTATTGACAGTAACAAGATCTATGGGGCAGTCAGATTTGACGATTCAGATCCTCTCTGGAGCCTTGTTTTCCTTTTTGTCTTTTAACATTCTTCTGAGGCTATTAGCACAACAGTACTCTGGGTGCGTACCACGAAGTTTTTGCCTGCATCACTGGAAGCCCATAATTTTCCTTCTAGACTCTGATGATACTTTCACAAACATTTGCTTCACCTCAACTAAAAAAAACCCAACAAAACAGAGCAAGAAGAAATCTTTTGATCACAAAGTAAAACAAATTAGTAAACCAAGGCTAGGATCCCATAAACTAAGAATTAGAATAGGAAAAAAACCAATGGGGTGGATATACTGATATGTAATCTCCCTTAGGTGGTGAGAATCTTTGGATCCAGAAACACTGATAAAACTCTGCAAATAAAGTAGCATCCTTCCCCCTCCCTGACCCCAGGAAAAAAACAACCCCAGCATCCCAAAATTTGCTGTGATCAGCATATGTTAGGCACAGGATCTGGAGATAATTACCAGAAGGAATGCTGGCAGACACCATGGTCCATTCAGAGAACAAGCACTTGCCACTTCTTCATGAATTTCAGAAGTCCCTTTTCTAGAGCAGTCTCTTGTACACAACTGCATATCCAGATGCACTCCCTAGAGGTTGTGGATCCAAGAGGAACAGTAATATTCTCTGCAGGATACTTTCAACTAATTAAATGCATATTAAAACTCTTCTCATAAAGTACTGTTTAAATTAAAAACATTACAAGAGAGGAATCTGACAGTGCATAGACACGACATAACACTTACAGTTTAGAAAACTTACATGTTATCAAATGAGAATCCATGACAAACTCAAATCTTCACATGAGTCTACACAAAGACTATGAAAATGGAAATGTACGGATGCTTTTTCCTGTAATAGGAATAACTGTTTACTGCTTAGATGATATTCTGTAACTATAGAAGGTAAGTTTGAAAATATTGGCTATTCTTACCAATTCTAACATGAAATGCTGTCCAGATGTATCCAAAATAGAACTGCACCTGTGTTATTCGTATCAAGAGCAGTGACATTTTTCCTCCTTTCTCAGTACTCGTGTTTGAACTACTAAAACACAAAACACTCCAAGCAGAACATCTGGCATTTTTTCTATTCCCAAATTTAAAACAGTAGCAGAAGTTTCTCTTGTAGATAGCTGTTAAAGCCTCAATGCATTAGTATGCCGAGACTGCCGCCTGTTCTCTCACCTCTGATACAGTTAAAGCTAAAACAAAAACCCGTAACATTTCTGGTATTACTGTACCTTCCCTAGTGATACAGAACAGAATCATGTCATATACATTAGCCTTTAAAAGCAAAGCCCTGATTCAAGTTATAAAAATGTAATCTTCCACACTGCTCCCTCTTTGCAGGATAGTTTCTTCATGGTCTCACTGCATTTGTGGTATGGACTGAGTTGATCATACTGATTTTAAATTGTTCCATTTAACTTTTACCCTCCACCCACAGGTCCTTGGCTTCTCTTCTCATTGATTATTGCATCCTGGGGCTGCAGAAGAAGTGCCTGCCTGCTTTTGCTTCTTACGGCGTTTGTTCAGGAGGCGGTTGTTGGATGTTTTCAAGTCTTTAATTTTCACCTGATCATAGTCCACCCTCATGGTAGCCAAAGCACTGGTCATCTCCTCCTGAAACCAAGGAAGCAATTTATTGAAAACCCTGAGGCAGAGAGCACACAGCCACCCTACCCTACAGCTAGGAGATGAATGTACAAAAAGGATCCCTCTGTTACACCACGGCCAGAAACAGACGAGCCCTTTCTGCTGCACTAGACTATGACTAAAGGCTTCGTTCTACTCATGGACTCATTCAGGAGGAACTATTCACAGAGAGTTTCATACGTGAGCGTGCAAGACCACACTCCACTGGCCTAAATTCCCTCACGTCCCTGTGCCCAGTATTTCTTACTGGCTGGCTCTGGGCCTTCACCAGCTACTGAGCCTGGGCTTCATATACCATTGTCAGAGCGCTGCTCTCCTTGCTCTGTTACCAAACTAGGTTAGCAGGAACTAGAACAAAGAGCCCACACAAAGTTGTTTAAAAGTATGTGCTTCAAATTCACACAATTTCTTAGTTTGTAACAATATTTAAGTGCAGGCAAATTTTAAACTTTTTAATAAGGCTTTGAGCAAGTATCTGCTTAAGTGAATGAATGTCCAGGCATTTAGTTCAGGGAAGGAAAAACAATTAAATATTATGGGAATGCTGGTGGCCCAAGGGAATGCCTCTTGGACCTGCACAAAGCACAAGCATAACAAGTTGTGAGAAACATGGAAATAAAGAATGTTAATTGAAAATATCTGTTTGATCTCTGTGACTTGGGGGGCAAATGTTGCCTAGGTCCTATGAAATTTTACCATTACATAGTTCGACAGCTGAGGTTATACATCAGTAATTTAAATAAAATCAGTAAAACACACTACGAGAATGTTGCAATTATCAAAATGCCAAGCATTGTAAATGCAAAAAAAATCAGAATTAATTGTAAAAGCATGCCAACCTGATAAAGGCCAGCAGGAAAGAGTTAAAGCTTGCAAACAACTTTTAGTCTGCCCTACAGTTTCTCTTTGCAGGAAGCATTCAACTGTCATCAGTACAAACAGTAGGTGAGGCACCTGGTTAGATTAAGGGAAAGACAGATAAATTACCTCCCCCTGGCAAATGTCACAACAAGACAAGGCTAAGGTCATTTAATGTTGTTTTACAATAGAAGGACAGAGTAGAAAACCAGAATGCAGCTCAACCCTCCCACCCTATCCCCCTACATTTTCATCATATCCTTCACTATGATGAACTTCAAGCTCCCTCAACACTGTCCCTTCTCCTCTGTGGTTACATACAGTGGCTCTGCAGGTAGCATCACTAATAACTTTGATCATAAACATAATCTTTGTTGATATCTGGCACAGCTGTAAGGCTGTTAGATGAAGCTCAAATAGCATTCTTTTATTTCTTTTTTAAACAGTTATCATATACACTACTGTTCTAACCAGGACTGTTCACACTTCCTTTGTTTAACATGGTTGTATTCAAAACAATCATAATCTCCAAGGAAATAAGCATATGCAGAGAAGACAGCCCATTTAATCTCTTTATCAGGCTTGACTTCAAGAAATCTGAACTGTGATTGACTCACTTTAACTTCATCCCAGTGGTCTTTATCCTCTTGCAGGACCCGTGCAGTATGAAGAGGAGTTGGTGGCACTGCCATTGATCTCTGAGAAAAGAGAAAAATACCAAAAAAAAGTGATCTGCAAAATCACATTGGGGAAGTGACTGTCTGCTCTTCTATGTGTATGGAAGACATAAAACTTTATCTAGTGCTTTGATGGCCCACATTATTCATGCTTGTGATCACTCCACAAGCTAATTCATGTATAAGGCAGAAAAGGACTACAGCCCCCACTCGACAGTATCTTTAAAGAAGAAAAGGAGAGAGAAAGCAGTGCTGAGTTTTTTTCTCCCTGCTCCCTGCCAGTCCAATCAATAATCCTGTGTTGGATAAATTTTTATGTACATTTTAGATTTTAACTGGCATTTCACTATTCATTAATCAATGTTTTAATGTGGTTAATTTGACCTTTATCTTCTAGGATTTGTTGCAGGAGAAATTTTCTTGTACATATACATTAACTGAGATTACCAGTTTATCAGATCATAAGTGTGCCCCAAAGAGGAAATTATGCTGCTATTCAGAGTAAGACACAGGTCAGCAGACAGTGCATCGCTTGATTCTTCCACATAAAATTGAGGTCTATGCTCACCTGTCATGAAAGATCAGTTACTTTATATTAGAATAACATACAATTTCTAAAGCATGAAGCACAGTTTCCTAGCTAAATTCAGCAAGAATCATGATATTTCTTTCCAGTCCATAACTCAAACTATACTTTAATTTGGATAGTCTATCTTCTTCATGCTTTCTCCCTAAATTGCTTTCTGCTGCTGTGGTATCCTACACCAGATGAAGCTGCATATCAACAAAGTCTAAGGAGATCCCTGTACGTGCCTTTGTAAAATATGCATTACATTGGAAGCAGTGCTTATTCTCCACTGAGCTAACAGCTGCACTGTAGTAGTTACAGAAGTGGAAGCAGAAATCATGACTCCTGCATCCTGTGGAAAAGGACCACAGCTGGCCAGGGCATAGTTTTATGAACTACAGGTGGGAGGTGGGAAATGGAAAACCAGCAGACTGGCTTTAGTGGTGTCCCTGAGCAGGTTTTGAAGGTGCCCTCCTACCTGCTGTCAGCTACTTCTTGTTGAATAAATCTTATCTACAAGCTAACTAGGGGATTATGTGCTCCACCTAAACTGACAATTTGTGCATAGTCCACAGTAACGCTTCTGCTATTCATCTACCACAAGAAAAAATAAAAAAAGAGGAGAGACAAAGCCCCCTCCTCTGCTGTTTGCGCAAGGCATCTCCCATACACATTCCCACTTAGGGATTTAGGAAAAGAAAAGGAAGAACACAGACATTCACTATGTTGGTCTTTCCCACT